CAGTGGAGGGGGACTGGTTGGGCCTGCGGGACAGGAAGAAGCGGAGGGCCTTTAGGCCATCTGCATGGGGAATGCAAGTGTATAGGGACCGGACGTCCATGGTAAAGATGAGGTGTTGGGAATCAGGGAATCAGAAGTTTTGGAGGAGGTGGAGGGCGTGGGTGGTGTCACGGATGTAGGTTGGGAGTTCCTGGACCAAGGGGGAGAAAATGGAGTTGAGATAATTGGAGATAAGTTCGGTGGGGCAGGAGCATGCGGAGATAATGGGTCGACCAGGGCAGTCAGGTTTGTGGATTTTGGGAAGGAGATCAAAACGAGCGGTGCGGGGTTGGGGAACGATGAGGTTGGAGGCTGTGGGTGGGAGGTCACCTGAAGTGATGAGGTTATGGATGGTTTGGGAGATGATGTTTTGGTGGTCACGGGTGGGGTCATGATCAAGGAGGCGGTAGGAGGAGATGTCACAGTTGGCGCCTGGCCTCGGTGATGTAGTGGTCAGTGTGCCATACTACAACTGTGCCTCCCTTGTCCGCGGGTTTTATGGTGAGGTTGGGATTGGAGCAGAGGGCTGCACGTTCTGTGGGGGGAGGTGGGAGTGGGTGAGAGGAGAGATTGAGGCGATTGATGTTGTGATGGCAGTTGGAGATGAAGAGGTCGAGGGAGGGTAGGAGGCCTTGGGGTGGTGTCCAGGAGGAGGGGGTGTGTTGGGGGCAGGAGAAGGGGTCAGTAGGGGGAGGGTTAGGCTCACGATTAAAGAAGTCAGCGGGGGGGGGGGGCGGAGCAACGTGGGCGGAGCGACGTCGGCCGGTAAATCTTGGATGTTGGTGGCAGCAGCGTCCTCAATGTCTGTGGTGTCGGCCTCGGAAACGGAGGCCGCGGCATCAGCAGCGGTGTCGATGGCGTTTGCTGTACCGGAAGTGGCATACCGGGCGGCGGCGGATGTGACATCATCCGTGGGTGCTCCGACGGTGGTCACATGGCCAGTGGCAGCGGGCATGTGGTGGGGAAGTCCTGGGTAGGGTGGCAGGCACCAGTAAGTTGAAAGTACTTCTGGTTTTTAGTGACCAATAAAGCAGAGTAGAATTATGAGTTCAGGTCGTGGACCCTGCGAAGAATTCTTCGCCGCCGCCCGGTACGCCATTTCTGGTACAGCTAACGCCATCGACACAGCTGCTGATGCCGCCGCCTCGAGGCCGACACCACAGACATCTGCCTCCGCGCTGACTTCTTTAATCGTGAGCCTATCCCACCCCCTACTGACCCCTTCTCATGCCTCCAATACACCCCCTCCTCCTGGACATCACCCCAAGGCCTCCTACCCTCCCTCAACCTCTTCATCTCCAACTGCTGTCGCAACATCGATCGCATCAACCTCTCCACCCCTCTCACCCACTCCCGCCCCCCCCCCCCCCCCCCACAGAACGTGCCGCCCTCTGCTCCAATCCCAACCTCACCATAAAACCCGTGGCCAAGGGAGGCGCAGTCGTCGTATGGCGCACTGACCACTACATCACCGAGGCCAGGCGCCAACTCTCTGACATCTCCTCCTACCGCCTCCTTGATCATGACCCCACCCCCGATCACCAAAACATCATCTCCCAAACTGTCCACAACCTCATCACTTCAGGTGACCTCCCACCCATAGCCTCCAACCTCATCGTTCCCCAACCCCGCACCACTCGTTTTGATCTCCTTCCCAAAATCCACAAACCTGACTGCCCTGGTCGACCCATTATCTCCGCATGCTCCTGCCCCACCGAACTCATCTCCACTTATCTCGACTCCATTTTCTCCCCCTTGGTCCAGGAACTCCCCGCCTATGTCCGTGACACGACCCACGCCCTCCACCTCCTCCAAAACTTCTGATTCCCTGGTCCCCAACACATCTTTACCATGGACGTCCGGTCCCTATACCCTTGCATTCCCCATGCAGATGGCCTAAAGGCCCTCCGCTTCTTCCTGTCCCGCAGGCCGGACCAGTCCCCCTCCACTGACACCCTCATCCACTTAACTGAACTTATCCTCGCCCTTAACAACTTCTCCTTCAATTCCTCCCACTTCCTATAGACAAAGGGGGTGGCCATGGGTACCTGCATGGGCCCAAGCTATGCCTGCCTTTTCAGAAGAAGGGTCTAGGCCCGAAACGTCAGCCTTCCTGCTCCTCTGCTGCTGCTGCTTGGCCTGCTGTGTTCATCCAGCTCTACATCTTGTTATCTCTTGTAAGTTCACTCGACCTTTTTATAAACAAGCCTTGCCTGTCCATGTTGGTCAGAGACGTAATAATCTCGTTCCATCCCTGCTGCCACGTCAGGTTAGCCAATTTAAAGGCATACGTAGTATTAGGAGCAAGGCAGTTTAAAAGGGTTTGTATGGCTAGGGGTCTGTGCTGTTCAAGTGCCACACCTGCCGAGGATTCCCAAGTATCCTTAAATCTAGCAATAAAGTCTATGAGCTGCTCACCGTTTTTCTGTATACATCTGGTCACTTCCCCAAAATCACTATGCTGTCTGGCCCTGTTAATGATGGCCTCTTTGGCTCGTGTCCGGAGCCGGGTATCTCTGCTCTTGTTCCCCTGATCCTGATGGCTATCGTCAGGGGCCCAATCACCGTTGCGGCCCGGAGGAATGGCAAACGAGTCCTTGACCACAGGCCAGGAAGTCCCATATGCAACTTTTAGTAATAACAGCACATCCCCAGGCAGTGGGTTATAAATATGACATGTTTGGACCAGCCACTTGTGGAATGGAATTTGCTTTTTTAGAGGATTCGGGGCTTCATTTATCATACTTCGGACTTCTGCGGGGATCCAGGGTCACAAAATTGATATATCTCCTACCATTATATGGGGATATTGTTTAACCGTACTACTAACGGGTACCTCAGAGTCATTATCGGGAGTACAATCCTGCATTGTGGCGGTCCTACTTCTTGTCTGGACCCTTTCTATGCCCGAAGTACTGGCCAGGGATGAAGAGGTCGTCCGCGCAGGGAGCAGGGGAGACTAAGGATTATTATAAGGAGGTGGACGGTCCCTGAAGGCAACTGCCAACAGAATATCATCCCTAACCTGATCCTTGTTTTCCTCAATCTGTTCTAATTTTGGTTATAGTCCCGCGGCAGGGGCACTGGCCTTATTACCCTTTTCGATCTCACGATTTTTGTCATTTTTTGGGTTTCGGAGGCTGATGACATTTTGCTACCTCCAACTATTTATCAAAGCAGGAACTTGTATAATTGTAATCCCAATTGGGATCCCCGTTTCCCGCTTCAGTCTCGCTTTTCCAAAATCGTATCTTTTTCAGGTCAAATGTATCTCCGTAAGGCCGATCCATATGAGACCACCCATACAAATCACTGGAAAACATAACAGAGTACCTGCTGTCTCCGGTTTCTAGCCAAACCTTATCGGCGGGTGATCCTGGAGTGACCAACGGGTCCCCAGGCAGCTTTCTTTGCTTTTCGATTTCCTTGATCTTCTTTATGGTTTTCTTCTTTGTCGGGGAACTCTTCCGCCTCAGGCTTCTTTTCCCATTCTGTTACCCATCGTCTTTAACAATTCCCACTTACCAAGGGATCAAACTCTGAATTCAAATGAATGTTAGTACTTTATAGTTACATATCTTAACTCTATGTATTCGTATGTTCTAATTCACCCTTTCCCAACCCCAAGAGCTCTTATTACCTCAGTCCTCCGAAGTCTCCTTGACTCTTTCTTTTGTCTTAATAGTTCATGTATAATAACTTGAGGATTTCGAAAAGAGTTTCTGTCTTCCACACATGGTCTTGCCCGTCCCGTCTCTCCGGTCTCCCCAAGATCAGATCAGGGTGGTCACCGGCTGGGGAAACTCGAATTCCTCTCTCACTTCCCTTCTCATCAATTTGTTCGGATCCCGTATATATACATGTATAATATATAGATAGGGATCCTGCCGACTACGCCAGACTGTCAAAGGGACTAGATTAAATCACACACCAAAGGCCCAGACTTCGAGGCAAAGAGATTGTATATGTGACATCACTGAGAGTCAACGCTGACAAAACGTCAGATCCGAAGATTCCGACGAGTGCAAAAAAGAAGCAGAATTTATACAGTGGTACAAACAAGTTAAAACAAACTGCAATTGTACTGTATTTTTAGCAAGGCAAGATCATTACTCAGGCAACCAGACATGCATTCATTCAAGCGGAATGCAATGAAAGTAAGAGTGTGCAGATGCTGTGAGCTCTAGATTTTTGCTATCTATCCTACGTGACTTCTCAGACTAGGGAAAGGCAGGTTGCAGTTACAACAATATGTACTGTTTCATAAAGCTAAAGTTTCTCTACTCCATGCTCCTAGTCATGTATTATTTTAACTCACTACTACTCAGCCTAAATTAAACAGTCTCAACATGTAAGTCTTCCACAAAACGTCTGTTTCACTATCTTATCTACCTGCAACTCCACTTTCAAGGAACCATGAACTTGCACTCCAAGATCTCTTTGTTTAGCAACACTCCTCAGGATGTTACCATTAAGTGGATAAGTCCTGCCCTGATTTTCTTTAAATATTGCCTAAGACCTATTATTTCTATATGAGTAAAGAGATCTTCAGGTTAATGAAGGAAAATATGGCACTCCTTCCATGCTGCAATGATACATCTGTCTCCATTATGTACTAATGTTCTGGATTGAGACTTGAACTCAAATTTCTGATTCAGATGGAAGAATATCACTTGTAAACTGAAGCTGGCAATGAAAAGTTTCAATCCTACACAGAACAGGAATTATCTGTTGAAGGGAATATGCTACCTGCTCTTCTGGGTGTCTATGACTTTACAAACGTTGGCATGTAGATAGGAATTTGTAAAGGAGGAGTCTATTTGTAATCTTAATCCTGTTTGAACAGCACTGGAAAGGTTTATTTTTTCCATTGGACCCTCTGCAGGTATTCAATTATTATACATGAGTCTTGCATTTCCAAATTTCAAGCTTTTAATTTCCATATCTTTAAACTCTTTTAGGGTGAAAGTGATGCACTTTTTCTCAATGGCACAGAGTCATGTTCTTGCCACGGCATCCAGTGACGGTTACATTAAACTATGGCAAATAGACATTAAAAAGGTAAGCAATCAACATTTTTGTAAATGTTTTAATGTATAACTTGGGATAAAATGTGGATAGCTAAAGAATGAGACACATAGGTCCCAAACACATAGAAGAACGGCTTAACTTGAAAATGTTTTTATGCATTTGTAGGATATGGACGTCAATGACTAGCCCATCACTGATTTGCTCATCTCAAATTCCCCTTGAAAAGGTGGTGGTGAGCTGCTGCCTTATACCACTGCAATTGTTGCTGTTATATCCCTAAGTCAGGTTGGTGAATAGCTTGGAAGGGAATTCACAGGTGACGATATTCCCATATATCGGCTACCTTTGTTCTACTAGGTGGTAGAAGTTATAGGTGCAGTCAAAGACCCCTTTGGTGAGTTACTGCAGTGATGTGGTACCAATTACATGGGTATGTTTTGTCCTGGATGACATTGAGTTTCTTCAGTAGAGTTGGAACTATTCCCATTCAGCAATGAAGACTATTCCATCACTCCTGACTTGGATCTTGTAAATGGTGCCCAGGCTTTCAAGAGATGACAAAAACAAAGTTGCTGAAAAAGCTCAGTGGGTCTGGCAGCATTTGTGAAGAAAAAAAACGTGTTCTGAGGAAGGGTCACTGGACCCAAAACATTAACCTTTTTTCTTCACAAATGCTGCCAGACCTGCTGAGCTTTTCTAGCAACTTTGTTTTTGCTCCTTTTCAAGAGGTGAATTGCTCACCACTGAATTCCTGGCCCCTGACCCACTCTTGCAGCCACAGTATGTATATCGCTCGTCCAAGTCAGTTTCTGATCATTGGCAATATTGATGCTCTGGAGTTCAGTGATGGAGATGCCACTGAATCAGTGGTTAGATTCTGCCTCTTGTTGGAAGTAGTCAGTCATTACATGACACTTGTGTAGGACAAATTTCCACTTGTCAGCCCTAGTTTGAATTGTTGCAGCTGTTTCAGCCTTAGCTTTGGGCTGTTCCACCATTGAGAATGGGGACGTTTGCAGATCCGTCACCTTATGCAAGAGGTTTAATTGTACATCACCATTCTAAACTGGACATGACAAGATTGCAGAGCTGGGAGCTGATCCAATGGCTGTGGAATCATGTATCCCTTTCTATTACTTGCTGCTTTTGTGTTTTGGCATGCAAGTAGACCTGTGTGTAGCTTCATTAGAGTCATAGAATTATAGAATCCTTACAGTGTGGAAACAGGCTATTTGACCCAACAAGTCCACACCGCCCTCTGAAGAGCATCCCACCCAGACCCGTTCTCCTATCCCTGCATTTCCCATGTCTAATCCAAACATCCCTGGGCACAACGGGCAATTTAGCATAACCAATCCTTGGTTAGCACTACCTTACAGCGCCAGGAGCCCAGGTTTGATTCCAGCCTCGGGCAACTGTCTGTGTGGAGTTTGCACATTTTCCTCTTGTCTGCATGGATTTCCTCCGGGTGCTCCCGTTTTCTCCCACAGTCCAAAGATGTGCAGATTAGGTGGATTGGCCATGCTAAATAATTGCCCGTAGTGCGCAGAGATGTTTAGGTTAGGTGGGTTAGACATGGGAAATGCAGGGATAGAGGAATGGGTCTGGGCGGGTTGCTGTTCAGAGGGGCGGTGTGGACTCGTTGGGCCGAATAGCCTGTTTCCACACTGTAGGGATTCTATGATTCTATGATCTTTGGACTGTGGGAGGAAACCGGAGGTCGACACACAGTTTTTTACATATGCCTGGTGCTGCTTCTTGCGTGCCCACTTGCAGTCTTTTTTGAGTGGTACTCCCTTGTCTTGATGGCAACCAAATGGGGCATATGAGGGTTGTAGATTGTGTGCTGCTGTTGAGGTACCACAGTGCCTTATGGATGCCCAGTCATGATTTGTGAGATCTTTTTGACATCAATCCCATTTAGCACTGTGGTAGGTGGAGAGTATCATTGGTGTGAAGAGGGGACTCCACGAGGACTGTGTGTGGCGGTCATTACTAATTGATACTGTCGTGAATAAATGCATCTGTGGCAGGCAGGTTGGTGAGAATGAGGTCAAGTATCTTTTTCCTCTTATGGTGCATTCACCACCCACTGCAGACAAAGTATAGCAACATCACCTACAAGTTCCATCATTAGGGCTGCTGTCAAGCCCTCTTAATGATGGACATTGAAGTTCCCATGCACAGTACATTCTTCAACCTTTGCCACCCTTTAACATTTCCTCAAATGGTGTTCAACATTTAAGTAGTATTGATGCATCATTACATCAACCAGGGAGCAGCACTGCATGGTTATCAGTAGGATAACTATTAGGATTAACGATTATTTGACCTGATACCTTGAGATTTAAGGAGCCCAGAGTCAATCTTGTGGACACCCTCCTGGCTGTGTACAGCTCTGCCACCACCTTTACTGCCCTTCCAGTAGGACAGGACAGACTAAGGAATGATTTTGCTGTTGCCTTGGTCATTGTCTGTACAGTACAATTCTGAGTACGAAAATGCCGGACTGTGGCTTAACTAGTCTGTGAAAAAGCTCTCCAATTTTGACCCTGGCCCCCAGATGTTAATAATTTTTGCCAGGTTGATGGAGCTGAGTTTTTCATTGTCATAAAAACCAAAAGAACTGTAGATGCTGTAAATCAGGAACAAAAATAAGTTGCTGGAAAAGCTCAGCAGGTCTGGTGAGCTTTTCCATTGTCATCTCTGGTGACTAAGCCGATGGCACATGGTCTTTCCAGTTTCATTCCTCTTTTGACAACTTACAGCAGTTTGACACAACTGAGTGGCTTGGCAATCCATCTCCGATTTAACCGCATTGTTTTGCTTTGTGGATGGACTCTCATTGTCAACCAGATCTGTTAAAGTTGACAGATTTCCTTACTTAAAGAGCATTAATTAATAAGATGGTTTTTATGACAATCAACAGTTGTTTAATGGCGATCATTTAGACTTTTAATTCCAGGTTTTTTTTTCTCTAATTCAAATTCACCACCTTCCCTTGTGGAATTCAACTTCTGGATTACTATACCAGGGACAATACCACTAATTCATCATCTTCCCATGTCCTTCCTATCAAGTTGCAGCCCATTCATTAGGTCAACCACCTCTGCTTCTAGTGACATCTTATCAGCTTCCTCTTTATGAACAAACCTACCAACTAGCTAATAGAAATATTCTAGTTTTTCCCTGTTCCTTTGTTGTCATATTTGATATTAATGGGCCCCATCCCATCTCTTATTATCCTTGTTCTTGCTTGAGGCATTATACAGCTTTTTTTGGGGGAAGCATTTTTGTTTTCTATCTCTTTTTTGTCACCCAACGACTTCTGGCTTTGGTTCACTTGCCTCTTGCCCTTGTTGGAATGTACCTAGCCTGCATATAAAATATCTCTTCAAGATGACATATTTTCATTGTCAAATGTTTGGCTTTATTTTACTTTGGCTAGATCTCCCCCTCATTGCATTGAAATTAGCTTTCTTCCAATGGAGAAGTCTTACTTTAAACAATTCCTTTGCTCTTTTCCATTACAAACGTAAACATGATATGGTGATCATGACTCAATTCCTTCCTTTCACCAATCCCCTGGTATCTCCTTCTATGTTGAACTGAAAGCATACCGGTCAGGGAACTTCTTCTGAATACATTTAAGAAATCCCTCTTTAACGTATCTGAATTGATGTTGAGAAAATTGAAGTTCCCCAATATTGTCACTGCACACAAGTCTTGTGATTTCCATCCCAATTTGCTTCTTCAACTCTGACTGTTTGGAGGTCTGCAGGTTCTCTCGGTTGTATGGTCATATCCTTTTTGCTCAACTCTAACCAAATAGCTGAGGCTACGAGAAGGACTGTCCTGTGATTGGTAAAGGCTGTGTGATTAGCAACCCAGGCAGCAGTTTGTTTTGTTATTAAGGCAACCAGGTTGGAAATCAGCCAATTAATTTCCATAGAATCCCAACAGTGTGGAAACAGGCCCTTCGGCCCAACAAATCCACATCGACCCTCAGAGCATCACACCCATACCCATTCCTCAAACCCACCTAATCTATACATCCCTGAACACTATGGGCAATTTAGCTTGGCCATTCCACCTGGCCTGCACATCTTTGGACTGTGGGAGGAAACCCAAGTGCCTGGTGTTGTGAGGCAGCAGTGTTAACCACTGAGCCACCGTGCCACCTGGTGATTTAATACAGGTACTTAGAAATTTTTTAAAAATTAAATTTAAAATCTGATGGTTTTGACAACCTAGGACCATTCCTATTGTAAGAAATTAATAGGTCATCAAGGGCATTTGAAAATCAGTGTGAGAGCGACTGCCATCTAATACAGTTAACAAACCATCAGCTAAAGACAAAATCACTGGCTGTCACAGAATTCTGTAAGCTCTCAGAAAACCATCATCTAACTAAATACATAGCAGTACACTCAGCTAATCTCGTGTCAAGAATCCGATGGAGAGAGGCATTCCTGACTAAAGATTGACAGAGAGCATGGAGCATTCCAAAAGACATATCCTGCTCGTAATTTTGAGATTAATTTTCAACTTATTATTAGTTTAGTTTATATAAGTGGATATAGAGTGAAAGGATTTCATTTTACTTAACCACTCCTTTTAAACAGATTGGGATGTGTGAAGCAGGTTGTACCACTTCACATTTCTTTTAACAGATAATGAGGTAAGGTGAGCCTCTCTGGGTGCCTAGGTTTTAGTTTTGGTGGAGGGGTTGGGGGGCTTGACTTCTGCTTCATAACAATTTTAAGGGGAAGCTAGTAAAGGATGTGGGGAAATAGGGACTTGAGTGGGAATCTGGAATTCACTCGCTGTTTTAGGGTGGTAGAAACAGAAGCCCTCCAAATTTAAGAAGTATTTAGATGAGGAAAGAAGCAAAGAGGCTTAGTGGAACAAATGTCATCGTGGAAGGATTAGACTAAATAACCTGCTTCTGTGCAGTATTTTCTATGTAATGCTAAGCACCCTCATGGAACCCGCTGCTAAGGTATTGCTCCCAGCTGTCCTCTTTGAATGAATGCCTGAATTGCTGCAGAACTGCTTCAGCATAGCAAAAACCTTGCACAAAATGAGATTAGAATAATTACGTGGTTGTTTTCGACTAATGTGGATGCAATGTTTGGAACTGAAGAATAAGAAAGTACAAATCACGCTGATGGGGTTATACTATAGGCCTTACAATAGCTAGCGTGAGATAGAGGAACAGACCTATAAATAGATCAGGGAAAGATCTAAAAACGGTAGAGTTATTGTAGCGGGTGATCTTTTTTAACTCCTGCAACATTGACTGGGACTCCCTTAGTGCCAGGGGCTTAGATGACGTGGCACTAAAAAGAATCCAGAGATTGTGAACTTCAAGGTCCTATTTTATAACAGCTGTGTTTGCTGACACCAGCACGTGTACATGATGTGCCACTTTAAATCACTGCTCGGGTCCCAAGAGAGGGACGGGAGAGACAGGGTAATAACAGCTTGGGGGCTGGTGGGGCGGAGGTTGGCAGCAAATCTAATAGGGAATTCAGAAGAAATTATTTTACCCAAAGACTGATGAGAATACAAAACTTGCTACCACAGGGTGTGGTTAAAGTGCATAGTATATTGAATATTACTCTACCTGTACTACATAGCTGAAATATAGTTCATCTATACATGGCAGGTTTGAGAATTCTTCAACAAAGTGTAGAAATTCCAAGACAGTTCTTGTAGCATTCGGTTTCCAACAATGTAGACACAGATCAAGACTCAACAAACTTAAAGCTTAGCTGTTGGTTTGGAAGGGGAGAAGGGTGAGCAGCTTTTTCTCAATACTGCTTGTACCTTCTTTGGCAAATCAAATACATACAAAGCTTGGTATTATAAATATTAATTTGAGAGAAGTCAAAAATCCATTGTATGGTGCCAAAAACAGACTTGGGTTAACTTGCGTCTTTGCAGTCATTTTTAAGTGGTGAAGTTTCAATCTCTTGTTGCAAACTTTTAATCGGCATTTGTTTTTTGAGGTTTACACCATGCCAAAGGTTATTGTCTGTCTCTGTCTGTCTGTCCATGAAATGGCATGTGACTTGTATAGTGATGTAAATTGGCAGGAATTTTAATGTTGATTGGTGTTTCTTTTATTTCTGTGAGAAGTCCCTTTTCAGCTGAAACTGCTTTTTTAAAAATATAACAGTCTGAAATGTGAATTCAACTGATGAAGTGTCAAATTATATTCAATGTAGCACGTCTTCATACCAACATCTGGAAGTCCAAACTATTGAAACCCCTGTTTCTTCCCTAACAATGGAATCTCCTGTAACAACTGTGTTTCTTTGCTGTTTCCTTGTTGTGCCCATTCATGTCATGATTTGCACTGCACTCTTTCAAGCTTTCATTACTCCCAGCTGTCTTGAATCGTGACTTTCTATTCGAGAATAGCACACGCTCAAGACTCCTGCACTTCCTGACTCTTCCTACTTCTCGCGATGAGCATTTGTTATCTTGTCATCGATCAGCAGAGGGAGTTCCTCAACCTTGAATGCATAATCCAGGATACATTGAATATCCCTAAAGAAGACTGCAGCGTTCAAAGGTAAAAATGGAAAATGAACAAAATCAGAGGTTAAGAGCAAAAAAAGGTAGTGGTTGAAAATTGATCATCTGAGAGAAGTCAATATTTCAAGTGCAACTTTTGCTATCACACCATTCTTGAATTTGAGAAAACAGAAAGCTGAAGTAATTGATGCTTGGTTCTGGGTCAACATGCAAGAATTACTCATGTAATGACCTCTCTTCTACCTCTGAAATTGATGTCCTTCTCTGCATTTCAGATTCAGAGTTGTCCTCTATTGCTGAGTGAAGTAAATACTTCTGCCCGCCTGACCTGTCTAGCTGTGTGGCTGTCAAATCCTCAAAGTATTGGACAAGGGATTGAAGAGCAAGTAACACACTGTGAAGGTATGTGGGGAGTCCACTGCATTTAAATTTTGATTAACAGTATGGATTTATGCTTAGCATTAGTGAACTGAGTCCAGGGTCATAGATTTTATTTTGAAGTAATCTATCAGGAGTGTACCCTCTAATCTTCCTCGGAGTGTACAACTGATTTGTTTAACCACGCAGTACCGTTTACGTTTTCCTTTACAGCCATGCACGTGTGTTGTCGGAAAAGGTTCATCATGCACACAGATTGAGCAGTTTAAATTGAATATTAATTTTTTTTCCCTTTAAACATGACTTTTGCAATTAGGAAAAGCTGTGCTTGCTCGCAGCACAATGTATTAGTTCAATTCAAATTGACCAGGAAGTCTGGTGAGGCCAATCGCTATCAGGAACATCTCATTCTACCTTTGGTATTTTTGACAAGTGGTATAGTGGATTTCTGACTGTGAAGAATCGAGATGCCAGTTAAAGAGGATCGTTGCTTGTTGAATGCCTTGTTAATGACCCAATGCACCTCATTAGTATTCAGCTTATTAAGCATGCTGAACAAGATAGATATCAAGAGAATTCAACCACAAGAAATGGGAACAGGAGTAGGCCATTCATCCCTTTGACCCTGCTCTGCCATTCAATAGGATCATGCCTATCTGACATTCCTCACGTCCACTTTCCTGCACTTTCCCTGTAACCCTTGATTCCCTTACTGATCCAGAATCTATTAATCTATCTCAGCCTTAAATACTTTTGCCCCACAGCTGTCTGTGGTGAGGAGTTCCAAAAACATGCAACCCTCAAGAGAAGAAGTTCTTCCTCATTTCAGTGTTAAATTGGTACCCCTTTATATAAGACTATACCCTCTGATCCTAGACTCTCCCACAAGGGGAAACATGCTCAGTATTTCAAGGGGTGTGGGTCTGGGTGGGATGCTCTGAGGGTCAGTGTGGACTTGTTGGGCTGAAGGGCTTGTTCCCAAACTGTAGCGATTCTATGATTTACCCTGTCAAGCTCCTTAAAAATCTTGTTTCAACGAAATTACCTAACATTCTTCTAAATTCCAATGAGCAGAGTTCCAGCCTGTTCAACCTTTCCTGATAAGACAATCCCTCCATACTGGGGATCATCTTTGTAAACATTCTCTGACTATCTCAGAAATAATATCTTTCCGTAAATAAGGGGACCAAAACTACTCTCATTATCCCAGATGTGGTCTCACTGGCACCTTATACAGTTACAGTAAGACTTCCTTTATTCTGATACTCCAACCCATTGAATTAAAGGTAAACTTTCCATTAACCTTCCTGATTATCTGCTGCACCTGTGTGCCAACTTTCTGTTTTCTTACAGAACTACCCCCAAGTCCTTTTTATGTTGCAGCTTTCTGCAGTTTTTCTCCCTTTAAATAATACTGTTTTTTTGAACTCTGTTCCAAAATTAATAACTTCACATTTTCCCACACTTGTACTCCATTTGCCAACTTGTTGCCCACTCACTTTACTTAACAATGTCTCTCTGTAAACTGTTTATTACTCTTGCAGCTTGCCTTTCCACCTACCTTTGTGTGTGTGCAAGCTTGGCTAGAGTACATTAGTTTCCTTCCTTCAAGTTTGTAATAAATATCATAAACTGTTGCGGTCCAGCACTGATCCCTGTGGAACCCCGCTGATTACGGGTTGCCAAGCTGAAAACAATCTCCTTATCCCCACTGTCTGTTTCCTGCCCATTAGTTCATTATCCACGACATGTAAATCAGAGTGACTACTTGAGTGAGTACAACTTGCCACTTGTGTCAAAGGGCCTCCATCTTAGACATAAGGCACCAACATCTCAAGGCATGCTCCATGGGCACCAGCCACATGCATGCCATGTCCACGGACACTGGTATCTGACGTGAGCCAGCCTCTAAGAACCCTTATGGTACATCTCCAGTTCAGTTCTAGGATGCTTCTACACTTCAGTGCTGCACTTCAGGCTGCACCAGCAGCTATCATTGTAACACTGAAAAAAGGACATTGCACTCAGGAACACACACCCAGGTCATGACTGGACCAGGGTGCATTACCAGGCTGATCGCTCACTGTAATTGTGTTCATTCACTCTAAGTCTACCTGGATGTTCTCAGTACCCCTGCTTTGCGGTGCTTTGCCTTGCCTTGCCTTTTAGCATTTTGTCCCTCAGCCAGAGATCCAGGCTCATATTACTTCTGAATTGCCTTGCTATTTAGTGCAGGCGCAAAGGAAGAGGAAGCTTGTCATGGTTGTAACCAGGCTTCAGTAAAATCAAGGCAAGTGGATTTCAATCACAGGGTTCCAGCACAGTAAGTCAAGGGCATCTTCCGAAAGCAGTCCAGGGGCACGGAAATGGTCAACAGCTTGAGTGGTCAGTGAGGATGCTCACAACATATGGGGATGAGGAACCAAATGTTAGGCAGAGTATGACCCATCTTGACTCTTGCTGCCCTAAAGTGAGCTGTTTTTCTCCTGGAACAAGAGAAAGAGAAAGACATATTAAATGAGATGAAAGTGGTCAGCAAATGTTGCATTTATTAAAGGTGATGGTGTGTCCTGAGAGAGTCACTAGGTAAGTGCTGTAGGGTTAGTGGTGTCATGGGTTGTGGTGGGTGGGTGAGTGAGGGAGGGAAGATGTTGCAGGAATGAGAGTGGTAGAATTCCACCTTGGTAGAAGTTGGGTGCACTTGCAGAGATGGAGCAAATGTGATATATCGGAGAGAAGGTGGTGGTATTTAAGCTGGTGGAACAGAGATCATAGATCATAGAATCCCTACAGTGTAGAAACAGGTCCTTTTGGCCCAACAAGTCCACACCAACCCTCAGAGCATCCCACCCAAACCCATCCCCCTTTTACCCACCTGATGTACACATTCCTGAACACCACCATCAATTTAGCATGGCCAATCCATCTAGCCTGCACATCTTTGGACTGTGGGAGGAAACTGGAGCACCTGGAGGGCACCCACATAAACACAGGGAGAATGGACTTTGACCTCTTTTTGTACAGTGCTGTACATCCCTCCAAACAGATGAGACTACTTTAACCTGAGTAGCAACTGCTGATCACGGTCTGGTGTCATGGCGTCCATTCCTGGGGAGAGGAAGTCCTGTCTTTGCACTATCCTGTCCAGCAGGATGCAGGCCCCTTCCCACAATGCAGTTGCTGATTTCCAAGGCAAATGTCAAGAACCATGCAGAGCAACTCCAGACTGATGGGGTTTGTCTGAGTGCATAATTTTTAAAGACGGTGTGAACTCAGGATGCCAGTGAATGGTGGGACACCTGCTGACTGGCAAGTTGTTCCAGGAACAGCAAATGGTAAGATGGAACCAGAGTCGGATGTGACAAAAGCCATAGCAGTCGGATGAGTAGTTAACAAGGCACATTTCATAAGATTCAGTAAGAAAACTCACTGGACGTTGTGGCAGCAATCCCTCTTAGACTCTCACAACTCATTCTGAGCCAAAAAATGTAAGATTCAGGCCATTGTTTCACAATCCCTCAAACTAGGGTTGATGTATACACAAAATATCTGAAAATTTAAAGATTATTGGCCAAGGGTCAGGGCTAACAATTACATAAAATTGACTGTTACTCTAGCTTATATGGTGTTCGTGTATTCTTGTTACCACCTTTGAGTAGTACATTTTGTGCATTCATCATTTAACCGCCAAATTTTGTTAACAAAAATAATTTCCAGGTGAAAATAATTCCTCGTTGAATTTGTTTCAAGATTTATGACTACCACAACGATAACAAAGTATAAGAAAAATATTGAAAAAGAAAAAATCATATTGTAGTATATGAATTCTGAATATTAATCTATGCTTACTGTAATCGCCAAAATTATACTTACAATTTCAAAACTTTAGTGTAAACGATAACATTGCAAACAATGGTGACTAGGCTATTACTGTCACTGGATATTTGGCATTTCATGACTTTGTTTGTTTACCTAGCATTTCTAATTACTTCCCTATATTTCTGTTGTAGGAGATGAATCCAGCAATAAATGTTTTAAACAGGAGGAGAGTAAAATAGAAGAAGCTACTTTGGGTGGTGACCACAAACACCCACAAAAGAGAGAGGGAAAAATTCTGTACAAGAGGAAAATAGCTGTTGAAACAAAAGAGAGGAGGAAAAAAAAGCTTGAAATGAACGATTCTCTGTAGTGTATTTATAATATATAATCAGGTGTTATCTGTGAATGATCACATGACATTTCATGGCTTTGTATTTGTAAAGTGAGATTGTGGATGTCAGTGAAATATTGACATTATCTGAACAGGATGCTTTATAAGGGTTCTCATCTCATGGAACAAACCCAGGATGTTAAAATATTAACTATCTGGACTCCTAGAATGTTGAACCATTACCTGGTGTCATGTGATTTCTGACTTAGACTCCTAGAAGATTACTGTCGATTAGAAATTCTAAATGAAATTACTAAATTTATTATTTACACATGGTGAAGTTCTGCTTTAAAGTTTTCACAATAGTGCAGTGTAAAGTTGCAAGATCTGATTTAGTTCTGAAATTCATTTTTGTATGAAGACCAAAGCGTGCATACATCTGTGATAACCTTTCTTGATGTGGAAGAATTGTCTTTTTTATGTTCTTAATTGCCACCTTCCTTTTGCTAAGAGAGTTGCTGTGTACTGGAGAGAAAAAGAATCAGAAGTGGTCTTCCACATCAAATCAAATCAACTATGATGATGTTTTGTGAATTAACATTGTGCTAACTTTCATTGTGTAGGCTTACAAATGAAAAATAGTTACTTTGGAAGTAAGGAGGTGGAGTAGAGAAAGAAAAAATTAAGCAAAAAAAATTATAAATTATACTTGGCAATGGGCTCTTATTTGAAGTATGAGAGATTTTAATCGTCATGATTTATCAAGTTTATTTTTATTTACTGATCTATTCAGATTATAAATTGAATGGGATAGAAAAAAAATACAAAGAATTGCTTTTTGACTTCATTACTAGGCATGAAATGGTGTAGATGCAATGTAACTAAAAATGAGTGGGAGACTAGTATAAGGAGAAAATGCAAAGCAGCAATTTGTGGATAATTGTATGTGTTGCTGAACACTTAAGGCCAAATAACTCACTTATTCAGCATTTTGTAATATACAGAGTTTGGGTCAGAAATAAAATTAAGTGCTCTTGCCTTAAACAAAAATGTGTGTTTACTGTGCCTCATTGAAGTTGGTGTGTTAAATTTCAGATTGTTATCTAAAGTTCAGTCCAATAAAGATAACTTTTGCTTACTATTGAAATGTGTACAAGTTCTAACTCAGAGTCAGATTTACAGCATAGAGAAAAAGCCCTTTGGCCCAGTGAGTCTGCACCAATCAAAAACAATTACCTCAGAGATAGTAGGAACTGCAGATGCTGGAGAATCTGAGATAACAAGGTGTGGAGCTGGATGAACACAGCAGGCCAAGCAGCATCAGAGGAGCAGGAAGGCTACATTTCAGGCTTAAACCCTTCTTCAGAAATCTGAAGAAGGGTCTAGGTCCGAAACGTCAGCCTTTCTTCTCCTCTGATGCTGCTTGGCCTGCTGTGTTCATCCAGCTCTACACCTTGTTATCTCAAAAACAATTACCTAACTACTCCAATCGCATTTGTAGCACTTGGCCCGTAGCCTTATATGCCTTGGCATCACAAATGCACATCTAAGTACTTCCTAAGTGTTCCAAGGGTTTCTGTCTCTACTACCCCTACAGGCAGTAAATTCCAGAATCACCCCATTCTCTGGGTGAAAAAAATCTTTCCTCACATCCTCTCTAAACCTCCTGATCCTTATTTTAAATCTCTGTCCCCTAGTCATTGATCCTTCTACCAAGAAGAAATGTTTCTTCCCATCTGCCCTACCAATGCTGCTCATAATTTTATACATCTCAATAATGTCACCCCCTCTGTCTTTTTTTTCCTCCAAGGAAAACATCCTGGTACATCTCTGCACACAATATTCAAGCCATGGCCTAAACAATGTTTTATATAGTCCCACTGTAACATTCCTGCTCTTAAACTGTATGCCACAGCTAATAAAGGCAAGTTTCACATGTGCCTTTCATTATGACACAGAGACAATGTATTTGCAATGTAGTAAAATTAAAACCCTCAATTGACCCCAATGGTACCTATCCAGCCTTTTGAAGAACCTGTCCCATCAATTACAGAGATAACACACTGGAGCTGAAGAAGGGTCCTGACCCGAAACATCCACTTTCCTGCTCCTGTGATACTCTCTGGCCTGCTGTGTTCCTCCAGCTCTGCACCGTGTTATTTCTGACTCCAGCATCTACAGTTCTTACTATCCCATGAATTCCAGACACCAGTTTATATTTTAAGACTTAGCAATTTATTAACAACATAGTCACTTTATTGTTTGTTTAATTTTGCTCTACTAAAATAATCTAATTGATCTATGCTTTAAAGCCAGAAACCTTTGTTTCCAGCTCAAAACGTACAAAAAACCGATGAACAAATAAGCAAAAATAACGAAACTGGTCATATTACTTAAGTAGTTTACAGGATGTGTTGATTCACCAGTATTGATGATTGTTTTCTTGGTTTTTTTTGTTGATATTGATCAGGATCATCTCTTCAGTTCACTGAGATAAAGCCAGTAATATTGAGCTTTCAAGAACTACTAATGGAAGGTAAGGCAGGGAGCTTCCAAATCTTCAGGCTGTAGGATCAACAGCCAGATTCCTTTTTCACAGAAAACAGCCTAAGGCCCAATTCAAACTCTGACAGATGCTCCCTGTTCTGTCAGGCATACCCATGCTTTCCCTGCGCTGGTGTGCCCCAGCGCACAAGCTCTTGCCTGTGCACGCGTTTTGTCTCTCTGCTCAGTCTCGTCTGCACACACTCTCACTGCTCAATCTCTCCCACCCACTCCCTCTGCTCCTTTTTGCCTGCATTTGCTTGTCCTTTCTGTTCTGTCTTGCCTATGCACCTGGGTTCTCTCTTTGTTTGCTCTTGTCTATGCTATCTCTCTGCTCCCATTGCCTGCCCTGTACCTCTCACACGGGCACACTGTTTCTGCTCCCTCTTACCTGTGTGCACTCACTTTGTCTAGTCTCATGCATGTTTTATGCTATCTTGCATGCATCTCTTGCTCAATCTTGCCCACACATCTGTCTATTCAGTCTCACCCCCATGCACGCTCTCCCTGCTCAATCTAGGCTGCCATGTAGGCTTGCCCACCTGCTCCCTCTCTGTGGCTCATTGCTTGCCAGTGCCTTCTGTTCTCCTTCTCACCCGGCATGCTTTCGCTTTCTCTTTCTCTTTCTCTGCTCCCTTTGAGCTACTCATGCTGTCACTGCTCTCTCTCTTGTCCACACACGCTGTTTTTGCTGCTGCATCTCACCTGTTCATGCTCTCTCTGCTACCTTTTGCCTGTCTACTCTGTTCCCCTTCACCCACCAGTTCTCTCTGATCCCTCTCACCCACTCGTGCCCAGTCTGCCCCCACTCGCCCACGTGCCTTCTGACTCTCATGCTCTCTCTCTCTGTTTCCTGATTTGACCCCTGAATCTCACCCACCGTCTCTGCTCCCTGACTCTGTCTTTGGTCTCTCTTATGTATACTCGCTCAGCTCCTTCCTGCTCCACGCTCTCTTTTTGCTCCCTCTCTCCCAATGTGCTGTCACTTTGTATCCACTCACCTACATGGCCTCTCTTTGTGCACCCATATTTGCTCTGGCTCGTCCTCCCTCTTCTGCAGCTCTTCTCAGATCTCATGAATTGGTTGGAGTGACAGTTTTTACACAGAGGAGCATACAGGAGGCAGAAAGTTTTATTGGTCGGACTTTCAGGGATATGGTCTCACCAAAGGCTCAGATGGGCAACTGCCAGGAGGGGCAAACAGGCACTGTAGGAGACCCCTGTGGCTTTTCCCCCTCTTAAACTGTATATCACAGTATACAGTTTTGGTTACTGTTGGGGAGTACGGCCTCTTGGAGGAAAGCAACAGCAGCAGCCTGATCAGTGGCACCATGATTGTCTCTATACAGCAGTTGAGTCAAAATGTAGGTGAGTAGTGGTGATAGGGGACTGTATAGTCAGAGGTACAGACAGGTGTTTCTGTGGTCGTGAGAGAGACTCCAGGATGGTGTATAGCCTGCCTGTTGCCAGGGTCAAGGATGTCTCTGAGTGGGCATGACATTCTGAAAGGGGAGGGTTAGGTTGTGGTCCACATTAGTGCTAATGACATAGGCAGGAAGGCAGATGAGGTCCTTGAAAGGGAATTTAAGGAGTTAGGTAAGAAGTTAGAAAGCAGGATCTTGAGGATGGTAATCTTCGGATTACCTATGAGCCACTTGCTAGTGAGTCCAGAAATAAAAAAGTGATACAGTTGAATGTGTAGCTAAATAGCTGGTTTAGAAGGGAGGGCCTCAGATATCAATATCTCTCCGGGTCAGAGGGACCTGAACAAGAAGGACGCGTTGCATCTAAACTGGAGGGGCACCAGTATCCTTGCAGAGAGATTTGCTAGTCCCATGCAGGAGGGTTTAAATTAGTGTGGCGGGGGAGGGGGGTGGGTGTGGGAATCAGAGCTGTAGGCCAGCCTGTGGAGTGATTAAGGAGAAAGTAGAGAATAAGTCAAACAAGTCCAATAGGAAGAACAAGCAGGACCAGGTTAATGAACACGGTGAGATTGGCAGTCTGAAGTTATTTATTTTAATGCAAGGAGTATAACTGGTAAAGAAAATGAGCTTCAAACCTCGATTTTGTTCAGTATGCTTGCCTTTATTGATCAATGCATTGAGTATAGTAGTTGGGAAGTCATGTTGAGGCTGTACAGGACACTGGTTAGGCCACATTTGGAATACTGCATTCAATTCTCGTCTCCCTGCTATCAGGAGGATCTTGTGAAACTTGAAAGGGTTCAGAAAAGATTTACAAGGATGTTGCCAAGATTGGAGGGTTTCAGCTATAGGGAGAGGCTGAATAGGCTGGGGCTATTTTCCCTGGAGTGTTGGAGGCTGATGGGTGACCTAATAGAAGTTTATAAAATCATGAGGGGCATCTATAGAGCGAATAACCAAGATCTTTTCCTTGGGGTAGCAGAGTCCAAAACTACAGGGCTTAGGTTTAAGGTGAGAGGGGAATGATTTAAAGGGACCTAAGGGCAATTCTTTCACGCTGGGGTGGTCTGTGTATGGAATGAGCTGCCAGAGGAGGTGACGGATGCTGGTACCAATACAACATTTAAAAGGCATCTAGATGGGTATATGAATAGGAAGGGTTTAGAGAGATATGGGCCAAATGGGACTAGATTAATTTAGGATATCTGGTCAACATGTACAAGTTAGACTGAAGGGCCTGTTTCCATGCTGTACAGCTCTATGACTAATTAGTGGAATGGCAATGTTGTAGCCATTACAGAAATTTGGTTGAAAAAAGGGTAGGATTAGTAGCTCAATATTTCAGTGTTTAGATCTTTCAGGCATGATAGGGATATAAAAGGGGTGGTGGAGTTACATCGTTGATTAGGCAGTATGTCACAGCTGTGCTAAGAGAAGACGGCTTAGAGGGCTCATACAGTGAGATCATATGGATAGGACTCGGCAATAAGAAAGATGCAATCACTACGATGGGGTTATATTATAGGCCTCCCTATAGCACAGCAGGGACAGAGGAACAGATATATAAGCAGATCAGGGAAAGCTGTAGAAACGACAGTTGTGTTGTAGCAGGTGAATTTAACATCTGAAATATTTACTGAGACTCCCCAAATGCTAGGGCCTTGGCTGGGTCAAAATTTGTTTGGTGTGTCCAGGAGGAATTCTTGAAACAATAGGTAGATAGTCCAACTCGGTAAGGGTGTATCCAAGATCGTGTATTGCTGAATAAGCCTGGCCAGGTGATCAAAGGAGTGTAACTTGGTAACAGTGATCATAAATCTGTAAATTTTAAGATCTTTATAGATAAGGATGAGACTGGTCCTTGGGTGAAAGTGCTAAATAGGAGAAAGGCTAATTACAACAGCATTAGGCAGGAACTTCAGAAATTTGATTTTGAGAGCTGTTTGAAGGTAAATCCACATCTGACTTGTAGGAATCTTTTAAAAGCCAGTTGACCAGAGGTCAGGACAAGTATGTTCCTGTGAGGACAAAAAATAAGGATAGCAAGATTCGAGAACCCTGGATGACGACAAGTCATTATGAAAGTTTAGTCAGAAAGGAAAAGGAGGTAAATGTAAGGCTTAGGAAATTGAAATCAGACGAGGCCTTTGAGAATACAAAGAAAGCAGAAGAGAACTTGCACAGGAAATTAGGAGGAATAAAAGGGGCCATGAAATATCCTTGGCAACTAGGCTTAAGAAGAATCCCAAGGCATGTTGTATGTATATTAGAAGCAAGAGCTAGGGAAAGGATAGGTACACTCAAGGACAAAGGAGGGAATTTATGTATGGAGCCAGAAAAAGTGGGTGAGGTCCTTAAAGAGTACTTTGCATTGGTATTCACCAAAGGGAAGGTATGTTGGTATTCTAGGACATGTTGATATTAAGAAAGTAGAGGTGTTGGGTGTCTTGAAAAATGTTAACATAGATAAGTCCCCAGGGCCTGATGGGATCTATTCCAGGATGCTGAGGGAGGCAAGGGAGCAGATTGCTGAGGCCTTGACGGAGATTTTTGTATCATCTTTAGTGACAGGCGAGGTCCCTGAAGACTGGAGAATAACCAATGATGTACCTTTGTTTAAGAAGGATAACAGGGATAATCCAAGAAATTATATGCCGGTAAACTTTATATCAATGGTAGGGAAATTGTTGGAGAAGATTCACAGGGACAGAATTTACTTACATTTGAAAAAGAATGTAGAGGGGTGGAGGAAGTGTTCCTAAAGTAGCAGTAAAAATAAAAAAGATGGATGAGGATGGTTCTGAATCAGAAAAGAGCAATTCAATTAGAAAAGGCAAACAACAAGTCCGAGAACAAGGTAACTGAAGAATTAAACTGCATTTATTTCAATGCAAGGGTTCTTGCAGAAAAGGCTGATGAACTCAGGGCACATATGGGGAACATGGGATTGGGACATCATAGCGATTACAGAACGAAAAACAGAAAGAACTGCGGATGCTGTAAATCAGAGATGAAAATAGAAATTGCTGAAAAAGCTCAGCAGCTCTGGCAGCACCTATGCTGAGGAATCAAAGATAACATTTCGGGTGGAGTGACCCTCGGAACGGTCACTTGATCCGAAACGTTACCTCCGATTCCTATTACGGAAACTTAGCTGAGGGAAGAACAGGACTGGTAGCTCCATGTTCTGGGCTTTAGATGCTATAGGAAGGATAGAAAGTGAGGAAAGGAAGGAGAGTGGTATTTTTGATTAAGTAAAACATTACTACTGTAATTAGAGAGGATATTTTTGAGGGATCGTCCAGCGAAACTATGAGTACAAGTTAGAAAAAGGAAAGGGATGATCACTTTAATGGGATTGTACAAAACCCCCTCCCAATAGTCAGAGGGAAATTGAGGGGCAAATATGTAGAGGCCTCAGACATATGTAAGAATAATAGGGTTATAATAGGAGATTTTAATTTTCCAAACATTGACTGGGAGTACCAGTGTTAAAGGTTTGGACAGTGAGGAATTTGTTAAAACTGTTAAGAAAATTTTCTTTATGAATATGTAAAAGTACTTACTAAAGAAGTGCAAATCTTCACCTTCTCTTGGGAAATAAGGCAGGGCAAGTGACTGAAGTGTTAGAAAGGGAACACTTCGGGACAAGTGGTCATAATTCTATTAGTTTTAAAATAGTTATGGAAAAGGATAAGTCTTCCATAAAAGTAGGTGTTCTTAATTGGAGTAAGGCAAATTTTAATGGTATGAGACTAGAACTTTCAAATGTTCATTGGAATAGACTGTTATAGATAACACAGTATGAAGCTGGAGGAACACAGCAGGCCAGGCAGCATCAGAGGAGCAGGAAAGTTGACGTTTTGGGTCAGGACCCTTCTTTAGAAATGGGGAGGATCAAGGGAACTGGGAAATAAATAGAGAGAGAGGGGAGGGGCTGGGAAGGTAGTTAGGATGGTGATTGGTTAGCAGAATGGGAGGGGTAGATAGGAGAGAAGATGGACAGGTTTTGTAAGGTCAAGGAGGTGGGGATGAGAGGGAGGCTTGGACATGGGACAAAGCTGGGGGTAGAACAAAGAACAAAGAAAATTACAGCACAGAAACAGGCCCTTCGGCCCTCCAAGCCTGCGCCGATCCAGATCCTCTATCTAAACCTGTCGCCTATTTTCCAAGGATCTGTATCCCTCTGCTCCCTGCCCATTCATGTATCTGTCTAGATACATCTTAAATGACACTATCGTGCCCATCTCTACCACCTCCGCTGGCAACGCGTTCCAGGCACCCACCACCCTCTGCGTAAAAAAACTTTCCACGCATATCTCCCTTAAACTTTTCCACTCTCACCTTGAAATTGTGACCCCTCGTAATTGAGTCCCCAACTCTGGGGAAAAAGCTTCTTGCTATCCACCCTGTCTATACCTCTCATGATTTTGTAGACCTCAATCAGGTCCCTCCTCAACCTCCATCTTTCTAATGTAAATAATCCTAATCTGCTCAACCTCTCTTCATAGCTAGCGGCCTCCATACCAGGCAACATCCTCTCCAAAGCATCCACATCCCTTTGGTAATGTGGCGACCAGAACTGTACGCAGTATTCCAAATGTGGTCGAACCAAAGACCTATACAACTGTAACATGACCTGCCAACTCTTGTACTCAATACCCCGTCCGATGAATGAAAGCATGCCGTATGCCTTCTTGACCACTCTATCCACCTGTAGGGTACAATGGACCTGAACACCCAGATCTCTCTGTGCATCAATTTTCCCCAGGGCTTTTCCGTTTACCGTATAGTTCGCTCTTGAATTGGATCTTCGAAAATGCATCACCTCGCATTTGCCTGGATTAAACTCCATCTGCCATTCTCCGCCCAACTCTCCAATCTATCTATATTCTGCTGCATTCTCCGACAGTCCCCTTCACTATCTGCTACGCCACCAGTCTTAGTGTCATCTGAAAACTTGCTAATCAGACCATCTATACGTTCCTCCAGATCATTTATGTATATCACAAACAACAGTGGTCCCAACATGGATCCCTGTAGAACACTACTGGTCACAGTTCTCCATTTTGAGAAACTCCCTTCCACTACAACTCTCTGTCTCCTGTTGCCCAGCCAGTTCTCTATCCATCTAGCTAGTACACCCTGGACCCCATGCAACTTCGCTTTCTCCATCAACCTACCATGGGGAACCTTATCAAAAGCTTACTGAAGTCCATGTATATGACATCCACAGCCCTTCCCTCATCTATCAACTTTGTCACTTCCTCAAAGAATTCTATCAAGTTGGGAAGATATGACCTTCCCTGCACAAAACCATGCTGCCTATCACTAAAAAGCCCATTTTCTTCCAAATGTAAATAGATCCTATCCCTCAGTATCTTCTCCAGTAGCTTTCCCACCACTAACGTCAGGCTCATCGGTCTATAATTTCCTGGATTATCCTTGCTACCCTTCTTAAACAAGGGGACAACATTAGCAATTCTCCAGTCCTCCGGGACCTCACCCATGCTCAAGGATGCTGCAAAGATAGCTGTTAAGGCCCCAGCTATTTCCTCTCTCGCTTCCCTCAGTAACCTGGGATAGATCCCATCCGGACCTGGGGACTTGTCCACCCTTATGCCTTTTAGAATACCCAACACTTCCCCCCCCCCTCCTTATGCTGACTTGACCTAGAGTAATCAAACATCTATCCCTAACCTCAACATCCATCATGTCCCTCTCTTCAGTGAATACCGACGCAAAGTACTCATTAAGAATCTCACTCATTTTCTCTGACTCCTCGCATAACTTCCCTCCTTTGTCCTTGAGTGGGCCAACCCTTTCTCTAGTTACCCTCTTGCTCCTTATGTATGAATAAAAGGCTTTGGGATTTTCCTTAACCCTGTTTGCTAAAGATATTTCGTGACCCCTTTTAGCCCTCTTAATTCCTCGTTTCAGATTGGTCCTACTTTCCCGATATTCTTCCAAAGCTTTGTTTGTTTTCAGTCGCCTAGACCTTATGTATGCTTCCTTTTTCCTCTTTGCTAGTCTCACAATTTCACCTGTCATCCATGGTTCCCTAATCTTGCCCTTTCTATCCCTCATTTTCACAAGGACATGTCTGTCCTGCACTCTAATCAACCTCTCTTTAAAAGCCTCCCACATATCAAATGTGGATTTACCCTCAAACAGCTGCTCCCAATCCACATTCCCCAGCTCCTGTCGAATTTTGTTATAGTTGGCCTTCCCCCAATTCAGCACTCTTCCTTTAGGACCACTCTTGTCTTTGTCCATCAGTATTCAGGGTGGGGACATTTTGAAATTGATGAATTCCATGTTTAGGCCATCAGGCTGTAGGCTCCCAAGGTGGAATAGGAGGTGGTGCTCTTCCGGTTTGCAGGTGGTGTCATTGATGGACATGTCACCCAGGGAGCAGGAGGGGGAGTTAAAGTGGTTGGTGACTGGAAGGTGTTGTCGTCTGTCACGTACAGAGCACAGATGCTCTACAAAACAATCTCCAAGTCTACACTCGGTCTCACTGATGTAGGGGAGGCCACATAGGGAGCAGCAGATACAGTAGACCAAGTTGACGGATGTGCAGGTGAACCCCTGTCTGATATGGAAGGTTTGTTTTTTGCCATGAATGGAGGTGAGGGAGGAGGTGCAGGGGCAGGTGTAGCACTTCCTGTGGTTGCAAGGAAAGGTGCCAGGGATGGTGGGGTTAGTGGTGAGTGTGGAGTGGATGAGGGAGTCGTGGACACAGCGATCCCCATGAAAGGCAAATAGAGCTGGGGAGAGAACTATTTCTTTGGTTGTGGGGTTGGATTTTAGGTGGTGGAAGTGGCAGAGAATGATACATTAAATGCAGAGGTTGGTGGGGTGAAATGTGAGGACAAGTGGGATTCTGTCTTTATTTTTGTTGCAGGGGGAGGCGATGTGAGGGCAGAAATGCGGGAAATGCAAGAGGTGTGGCTGAGGGCATTTTTGATCACAGGAGGGAGGATGTTACGGTCCTTGAACTAGGAGGACATCTAGGATGTGCAGGAGTGGATAGCCCCATCTTGGGATCAGACATAGTGGAGGCGGAAGAATTGGGAGTAGGGGATCACGTTCTTGCAGAAAGGTGAGTGAGAGGAGGTGTAGTCCAGGCAGCTGTGGGAGTCGGTGGGCTTGAAATAGATGTCAGTTTTGAGGCAGTCACCAGAGATGGAGACAGAGAGATCCAGGAAGGAGAGGGAGATAGTACTGGTGAATCTGAGGTTGGGATGAAAGGTGTTAGTAAAGTTGATGAACTGTTCAAGCTTCTCACGGGGGCACAAGGCAGAGCCGATACAGTTGTCAAAACGACACCCTCATCTGCTTAACTGAACTCGTCCTTACCATTAACAACTTCTCCTTTAACTCCTCCCACATCCTACAGACTAATGGGGTAGCCATGGGCACCCGCATGAGCCCAAGCTATGCCTGCCTCCGTACGATACACGGAACAGTCCCTCTTTTGCTGTTACACTGGCACTATCCCCCACCTCTTCCTCCACAAAAAAGGACTGCTCTCTCCATGACTCCCTTGTCTGCTCCACACTCCCCACTAACCCCAGCATACCTGGCACCTTTCCCTGCAACCGCAGGAAGTGCTACACCCCTACACTTGCCCCCCTCACCTCCATTCAAGGCACAAAACAAATCTTCCATATCAGGCAGGGGTTCACCTGCACATTGTCAACTTGGTCTACTGTATTTGTTGCTCCCAGTGTGGCCTCCTCTACATCGGTGAGACCAAGCGTAGACTCGGATACCATTTTGTAGAGCATCTGTGCTCTGTATGTGACAAACAATAACACCTTCCGGTCACCAACCATTTTAACTCCCCCTCCCACTCCCTGGGTGACATGTCCATCATGGGCCTCCTCCAGTGGCACAATGATACCACCCACAAACGGAGGAGCAACACTTCATATTCCGCCTCGGTAGCCTACAGCCCAATAGCCTGAACATGGAATTCACCAGTTTAAAAATCTCCCCACGCCCGGTTTCAGCCCATGTCCAACCCTCCCTCTCATCCCAGTTTCCTTGACCTGACACAACCTGTCCATCTTCTCTCCCATCTATCCACCCCTCCCACCTCACTAACCAATCCCCACCACTCCCTACTTGCACTCACCTATCACCATCCCACCTACCTCCCCCAGCCTCACCCCTCCTCTCTCTATTTATTTCCCAGCTCCCTTGCTCCTCCCTATTTCTGAAGAAGGGTCCCAACCCGAAATGTCAACATTCTTGCTCCTCTGATGCTGCCTGGCCTGCTGTGTTCCTCCAGTTCTATACTATGTTATCTCTGACTTCAGCGTCTGCAGTTCTTGCTATCTCTTGGAATAACCTGCTCGCAGGCTAAGGGACAAGTGACCAGGGGGAGGCTTTCAAAAGTGTGTTGATGAGAGTTCAGAGGCATTATATTCATGTAAGGGTGAAGGGTAAGGCCGATAAGAGTAGGGAACAAGGGATGAATAAAGATATTGAAGTTCTAGTCAAAACTGGGATCAAATGAATCTCTTCAGTATAAAGAGTATAGGGGCATTCTTAAGAGGGAAATCAGGAAGGCAAGGAAGAGATATGAAATAGCCTTGTCTGATAAGGTTAAGCAGATTCTACAAGTACATTAAGACAAAACAGCAACCAGGACAGAATAGGGCCCCTTAAAGATCAACAAGGTTGGCTGTATATCGAACCTCAGGAAATGGGAGAGATGCTAAATGGATATTTCACATCAGTTTACTATAATGAAAGAAATGGAGGCGAGAGAATTCAGGGAAATAAATATTAATATTTTGAGAACCGTTCATATTACTGAAGAGGAATTGCTGGAGGTTTTAGAAAACATAAAGGTGGATAAATTTCTGGGACCTGATCAAATGTATCCCAGGACATTGTGAGAAGTTAGGGAAGAAGTTGTAGGGCCCCTGACAGAAATATTTGTATCATCTATAGCCACAGGTAAGGTGCCACAGGACTGGCAGGTGGCTAATGTTTTGCCTTTATTTAAGAAAGGCTTTAAGGAGAAGCTTCAGATCTATAGACCTGTAAGCCTGACATCTGTGGTGGGTAAGTTGTCGAAGGTGATTTGGATAGGATTTACATGCATTTGGAGAAGCGAGGACTGATTGAGGATAGTCAGCATGGTTTTGTGCAAGGGAAATCATGTCTCTCAAACTTTATTGAGTTTTTTGAGAACGTACCCAAAAAGATTGATGAAGGCAGAGCAGTTATTTATACGGACTTCAGTAAAGCCTTTGACAAGGTTCTGCATAGTAGACTAATTAGTAAAGTTAGATCACATGGGATTCAGGGTGAGCTTGCCAATTAGTTGCAAAATTGGCTTGACTATAGATGAGAGAGGGTGGTTGTGGAGGGTAGTTTTTCAGACTGGAAGCCTGTGAAGTGTGGCCATAGAGATCGCTACTGGGTCTACTTTTGATGTCATTTATATATTTTTCTAAAATTCATTAACGGGATGAGGGTGTCACTAGGCAGCATTTATTTCCCATCCCTAATTGCCCAGAGGGCTGAACTTCAGAGTCAACCACATTGCTGTGGGTCTGGAATCAGATGTAGGCAAGGCCAGGTAAGGATAGCAGTTTCCTTCCCAAACTAGATGGGTTTTTCCCCCAACAATTGACAGTGGGTTCATGGTCATCATTAGATTCTTAATTCCAGATATTTTATTGAATTCAAATTCCAACATCTGCCTTGGTGGGATTCAAACCTAAGTCCTCAGAATGTTATCTGGGTCTCTGGATTAACAGTCCAGTGATAAAACCACTAGGCCATCACCTCCCCTTAGTTAGATTTTGATAAGAGTATAGGAGGCATGAATTTCATATTGTTAACATCTTAGAATCACATGCTCATGTAACTAACAACTTAATAAAGGAATGAGGAAAGAGTGGTCAACATCATATAAATGTAAATTTGTATAGTATATATCGCAGTTATATAGAGTGTTAGATGAGTACAGTGAAAACATAAATCAAATGAAAAAGGAAGAAGTTCCTACATGGGTTGACAGCACTAAGTGAAGGAAATTAGCTGATGAGACAGAGACTTTAAATCAAATCTCTATCTGTGAGTTAAGGAGATTAATTATATTAGGGACTAATGAACAATGGAAAATATTGGAGTGATCCAAAATACATTTGGATGAGAGTTAAGAAGGCTCTACCTTATGCAGTAAAATCATGGGGGGTGACTTGTAGGGACGGCACTTAAGGAATGCCAACAGACTGATAAAACTATTGTTTGTGCCTCTCCCACTTATACAGCTGGACAAGCCACATGTGGTTTTGAGTCCAACAGGAATGAAACAGTTAACTGTTCTCTTGAAAATTCAACTACCACTGGAGACAACATAAGCAGAGTTGGATTTGGGAGTAAAGGAGAATACTGTATCACAACATCTTTAAAAGAATACCATTATCATAACCAGTCTTGTCCCATCACTGATTCAACATTTTGCATTAACCCTCAAATGCCATGTGCATTGAAACAATGGAACTGGTTAACATCAGTAGGAGAAAATCTGTGACTTTTGATATGATTGACTCAACTAGAGAAATAGTTATGTCTTATTGGCAAAAATATGAGCTCTATATTGCCCTGCAAAGGGAACATTTGGAAGAAATAAAAAGTATTTTGAGAAAGGCCCACAGGTTACATGTTAAGGTTCAATGGAATAGTCAAAGAATCAAGACGGGTATTAAAAAAACATTAAGAAACATTTTTGGTGGGATAACATCTGGAATTGCAGAAGTAATATACAACTGGCCTTGTGGGTTTGTATTATTTCACATCTTGTTGGAGTTCTGTTAAGACATGATTATCTTAAAGCTGCAATGGGTGAATCATGTTTATTACTATTTTTATTTTGTGCATTTTTATTACTCTATTGTTGCTTTGTGATTTATTACTGATATTAATCTCTGACTCATTTATTGATTATTGGTTTGCATTTGTCTGCACTGCATAATGAAGTTATAGATTTTTAAATTATGCATGGTGTAGCAACTCAACTTGGATATGAACCGAAATGGTGGAAAATGACTGATTATACTAGGGTGTTTGTTCATCATATTAAAAATGAAGAGGAGGGACTGTGATATTATAAACTTCAGAGCTTTAATAACTGCTCGTGGATTGAAAGAATCAACAAAGATAAACTATTACACATAAAGAAGTCAGCAATAACTGTCTGGAATAAACTATTAAGGGACAAGAACAAACTTATACAGGGATTGAAAGCAATTAGCCATGTCTGGGAAAAGATGGAGTTGAAGCTACAAGAACAAAACTGTTTTGACATCAGATTGATAACTATCTGTTTTGTGCCATAAAGTTAACT